TGATAGTGCTTACACTTTATGGAAATTCATTGATGCACATCAAGGGAACTTGGAGGCGATCCGACAAGCTTTGGAGGCTTCCTCTTCAAGTTTTATTGGAGCATCATCATGCACACGGGTACTGGGCGATAGCCCTAGTAAGGTTTGCGAGTCCGAACCCGATAGTGAATCATCTATAGTTAATCTCACATATGCATATGAGAAATTAATGAAAGCCTACAACAAATTGCATCATAATTATGTAAATTTAAAAAGCAAGCATGTTGTATTAAAATCCGATCATGATGAGCTAGTGTCCAAATTTGATGTCATTGTAAAAGAAAATATTATGCTTAAGGAAAACAATGACTTGTTAAATTTAGAAAATAAAAAATTGACATCATCCATTTCTAGCTTATCTCATGAAAAATATAATGTCATATTAGAAGTAGAGAACATAAAAAATGATACTGCTTCTTTTATAAATGATTATTTATGTTCTACTTCTAATGTTAATGCTAATGTGTCTAATGATGAGTTGAATGTTGTTAAAAATCACATTTCATCCTTAGATTTAACTTTTAATACATGCATTAACAATCATGATAAGCTTATGAACATGTGTGCTAAGTCTCATGCTAAAACATCTAAACATCCTATTCATTATGCACACATGTATAGCAAAATTACAATTGCTCTATTTGTGATCGTAAAGGCCATTTGTCTAAATTTTGCTATGATGCACGTAAACCTACAAAATCAAATGTTCCTTGTGCGTCTCATCAAGCTTCGTCATCACACACACATGCACATGCTCACAATGCTCGTCATAAACATGCACGTGTGTTTAAATGTTATATATGTGGTCGATTTGGTCATTTGGCAAAATTTTGTTTTGATTTGAGAAGAGTTTCTCCTTTGCAAAATAATTTTAAAGAACAACATATTTTGCAAATGATTTTCTTGCACCGCTACTTGGCCATAACAAATCATTTCAACCCTTTCATTATACTTATTGCAACCGGAAAGGCCATTTACACAATTTTTGTTTTGACCGTGTTCGTGCACTAAATGCGTCCAAATGGGTTCATAACGCAAGGGCTTTGAGCTTTAATGATAGTGACATGTCCCTAAACAATCTGACACCAAGAATGCTTGGGTGAAAAAATCTTTTTAAAATCAAGATTTTTTAATATTTTTATTCTCTTTTTCTTGGTTTTGAAAAATATGCTTTAAATTTTTTGAAAATGAAAACATGTTTTTCTTAAGTCAATTCTTTTGTTTTCATTTTATTAACTTTGATTTTATGAGAGGTTTGTGTTTATATAACCCCCCGGATGTATTGGGTGTTTATTCCCAAATCTTATTTATCGGGTGCTAAAAATCTTTATATGGGTTGGAACAAGCTCAAGAGCTTGTTATTGTCACCTCTCTTGCTTTATATAGTTTGCTTTTATGGATTTCATTTGATTTATGATTTCATTGGCTTGATTTGTTTTCATTTGAAAACTTTTTTGCATGATTCTCATGTTCTTCTTCTATTGATTTCATAAATCTATCTTTTTACATGGTTTTTATGTTTGAGTAATGAGACACTATTTCCATATTGATATATTTATATGTATCCTCATTGTATTCTTATGTGTGCATGGTGTTTAGCATATTTTTCATCTATGCTTGCTCACACATATTTGTCTTGATTATTATTGCATATATTTCATAAGGCATTTTGATAGGGGGAGCAATCCCTATATTTGTTTTATACTCATCGTGCTTATTTGTAGGGGGGGGCTTTCGCTCTCTCCATTCTTTTGTTTTCCCCATTTTGATGTTGTCAAAGGGGGGTAAATATTGTGAGTATATCTTGTTTTGGTTATATGCATGATAACTATAATTTGTATATTCATTTTCCCTTCATGCATATATATCTTTTTGTAAATTATTTGCCATCATCAAAAAGGGGGAGATTATTAGGTCCTTTTGTTTTGATGATGATTAACAAATAATTTACAACTAATGTTGTTTGTCTAGTGTTTGTGTTTTGTATTTATTCTAGGCAAACAATAAGTTGGAGGTTGGATGGAATAGCGCTTCAACGATCATATCCAATGGAAGTTGGCGGAATAGTGGTTGAAGCCTTGCGATTCAAGTTGAAGATCCAAGTTCAAGCTTTATCCGCAAGTTTACCAAGAAGAGCTTATTGGAGATCAAGATCAAGCTTGGGTAAATTAGTTTAGGGTTTATATTATGTGTGTTAGTACTTTAAGCTCAATCATATACACACATACACGTTTTGGTTTTGTATATATATAGTTATATATATACATATATGTTTTGGTTTAGCTATATAGATATGAAACAATATATATCTTCATATACACTTTTATATGTTTCATATTCTATTGTATTTAGAAAAATATTGTGTTTTTGGTTTATAGACTTAACAACTATAGTTATGCTTTTTGAAAACCAGTTTTTGTAGCATGTTTATTATCATGCCTACAATCATTTCTCAAAGTTTTACATTTTTCTGATATTATTTGCTATTTTTAAAAGGAGTTTAAAAATTAGATTTCTGTTTCAAAACAGGCTAAAAACATGTTATCAATCGACTGGTCAGTCGACTGATGACATCAGTCGACTGATGACATCAGTCGACTGATATGTCGACTGAAAAAAGTGTCTGGAATAACAAAATGTTTCTGTTTTGTTTTGGTCGACTGACCAGTCGACTGATGAGGTCATCAGTCGACTGATAAGGTCGTCAGTCGACTGATGAGCTAGAAAATACCTCTAACAGTCAGTTCATCAGTCGACTGATGTAAGCTGTCAGTCGATTGATGCTGTAACGGCTAGTTTTTTTAGTCTTTTACAGATTTGGATTTTTGGTCTTTTTGCCTTGTTTTCTCTTGGCTTTTGGGTTCCTATAAATACCTCCACATTTCTCAGTTCTACATACTCAAGAGAAAAGTTTTACAAGGGTTTTAAAAGTTTGTTTAGTTTGTTTAAAGGTGTTTAAGCCTTGTTTAAGAGTTTTGTTTGTGAAGATAATTTCACAAGAGCAAGTGGAGATCATCCTTTGGTGTTTGAGCATTCACTCTTCTCCCTCTCTCTTGTTATCATATAGAGAAGTTTTTTCTAAACTCTTATCTAGCTATTTATTTATTTGTTGTTCATTTTCTTAAAGCTAGATTTATTTGAGTTTAGTTTGTTTTATTAAATCTCATTGTTACACACACCCACTTGAGCTTCTAGTATTTTCATACATAGTATAATTGGATTGTGAGAGATTGTAACTTTGAGTTGTGCTTAATTGAGTTCTCACCTTGTTTAGATAGCAACAATTTGTCGTAGAGAGCTTATTTGTGAGGATTCACTTTGTATTGCGCTAGTACACCAAGAGGAGTGTGTGGTGAGAGACGGGGTCGTCCCAAGAGGAGTGTGGTAATGCCTAGAGAGAGGTTGTAATTCCTAACACTTGAGGGAGACATGGGCTAGAGACCAACACTTGATGTTGTAGTTAGTGTAATTACATTGTGAGATTGTGAACGTTGATCGGTGAGCGTTGAAAACCAATATTGTGTGGTGTAAACGTTTCCGGGTGATCGTTGAAAACCCGGTGTAATAGTGGATTTCTTCCCGGGAGTGGGGAGCGGAGACGTATGACGGAAGGTCCGAACTCCGTGATCATATTGTGTGTTTGTATTGTTTATTTGTGCACTATCACTCTTGTTTGGTTATTGTTTATTTTACCCTTGTGTTAGTTTATATATCCATGCTCATATCTTGTTGAATATCATTCTTACTAGGATATATTGTTATTTAGTTTTAAATTAGCATAAATCGGATTAGATTAGCATAAACCCTATTCACCCCCCTCTAGGGTTCTTTCCTAGTGGCATTAGGGTACTTTCAGGGGGGGGAGAAGAACGCGGGAACAACACCCTCCCGTTTCTCTCTCTCCTCATTTCACATTTAATTTGGTTTTTTAAAATTAAATAAGGGGCCCAAATATGATACAACACATGAATAGAGTGAGGTTGGGAAATGGTAGAATTGGATTTTCTTTAAAATTTTAAGGGAGGCACACATATGCATGTATCGTTTTTTTTAAAAGTTCGGTCTAAAGATAAACATAAAAAGTTGATTGGGTTTAAAAATATGACCAAAAGATGTTAGTTTTAAAGATAAATCAGAGTAAATTTTGGGCCTAGAAACAAAAACCCTTATAGTTAACGGGGTTAGAAGATTTAGAGATAGACCTAAAAGAACTTGGTTGAAAATAATTAAAAATGATATAATTGTGTTTAACTTAACGGAGGAGATGTCCCAGGATATAATGGAGTGGAATTATAGAATTCATGTAGTCGACCGCAAACATTTGGGATAAATGCTTTGATGTTGTTGTTGTAAGGTCTAGGAAAACTTTTTGATGTAACATGAGAATATACATGATATACCAAAGCTGGCCATGCCACACCCAAAAATATAAGGTTCAGTTACCTTGTGACAATTTTTCGAATTAGACCTACTCCCAAAAAAATTATCAGAATAGACTTGGTCTCAAAATATTTATCAAAATAGACTTAATTTATGCCATGTTAGTTGAAACTAAGTCGATTATAATACATATTTTAGAAACTAGGTTGATTTCAGGGGGAATTTTTTTTTGTAAACTCTATGTGATTGAGAATCCCGGCAAGTTTAACACACAATTTAACGTAAGGGATTGGCAATCCCGTGGAGTTTGGAAACTTTTTTTCATCAAAATCAGCATACTTTTGCTGACATGGCTGAAACTATGTTAATTTTGATAAATATTTTGCAAATAGGTTGAAATTGATAAATTTGTATTTCAAAAGATCTATTTCAAAATTTTGTTTGTTGCCTTACAGATATAATAGTACCAATGTTTGCTTCAGGTTGTCAGCTACAAGATGGCCCTGTTGAAATAGAACAAGGCCGAGCAGATTTGAATATGCTGGCAACGAAACTGCATATGAAACTTCTTTAAGCAAAAATAGCAAACTCTGAAGCTACAATTCACTTTACTCAACATTTTTGCAAACTCTGAAGCTACAATTCACTTTACTCAACATTTTAGCAGACAAGGATATGGAAGCTAGTGACCATAACTTCAATCAATGAGATCACAAAAATGGTTTAATAGGACAGTGACATTAAAATTATGCATACATCTCTGCTTAACTAGACACATTACATTCTGTTTGTAAGACATCATTTCTTTTCCAAATGTTCTTCATTCTTGACCATATTCCTCGATGATTTGTGTGGCAAGTATCATAAGGTCTACAAATGCACTGAATGAAGCACGTAAAAATCTGGCCTCCACTGCTTTGAAGTGTCTGAAGAGCAAAATAGCAGTTAAACTCACAATACCGCGTGCAATTAAGTTTGACGGAGATATGGAAATTAAGTTATATTGATTGAAGAGTGAACTCACACTTTAAGTTTGCCATCCGATAGGGTCATCAGTCTCTTGACCTTATCTGGCTGCAACTGTAACAGAACACTAACGTTAAAATGAGCTCGCTGGGGAGGGAGGGAGGGAGGGAGGGAGCTTTACCTCTTTGTCCACATCTAGTGATGCATAAACCATAGCTGCGTGCTCCTTTGATCCATAATCTACTTCAAAGTCACTGTTGACAAAAGCTATTAGTGCCAAAGAGAAATTACTCTACTAAAATATGAAGAATATAACTAGAGAAGTATAATAAAGGCATGTCGATTGGCAAGAAACAACGATGTTTTGGTTTAACAAAGCATATAATACAAAGTTCTTATTTATTATTTAGTAACACACCTTCAAATATGTACTCTCCACATGAAAACGAAACAATATCAGCTTCACCAACAATATAATTGCCCAGAGTTTTCAATTTTAAAATTTTAACAGTCTCATCAGACAAATAAAAGAAACTTAATGAAACATGTCAAATAATACACTAACGAACACTTCGTTTTGGGTGCCGTATCCGTGTCCGTGTCCGACACGTGTTGGACATGGATTCACCGCGGACACGCAATGAACATTTGTGGTTCAACGAAACCCGATTTTCCCGTTACTTATAACCCTAAACTGGTTTCTTTGGAATCTTTGGTATATCCGGTTCAAAACTATTTTGAACCCAAAAACCAAAACCCATCAACTTAAGATTTGAAAAATGCACATAGTATCCCATGTGATCAAAACTACGCCCGATTCTTCCTTTTCTTCTCCAACAACTTCTTCGAACATAGATAAGGAATGAAGGTCTCCATTCTCAGTTGCTCGAAGTCAACAAAAGAACCGAATTCTAGGTTGGATTTAACTTAATTCATAGCTATTATGGATAACAAAAGAAAATACAAATGTTATAGGTATTTTAATTTAATATTTGATCTAATAATGTAAATTATAAATATATAGTCGTGTATTTGTATCCCATCTTTTACAAATCTGTTGTGTCTCATGTCCGTGTCCGCACCCGTATCTGTGCAACCTAGGCGCTAACCAATCCATAGAAAAGCTTATAATAATACAAAAAAGAAAAAGGTAACATACTAGATTTCACAATGAAGCACAATTTCATAACTTGCACTTAGTTCAGGAGGAAATATAAACAAAGATCTAGTTTTAACAAAACTTCAATTAACTTTTTTGCAGCATCCTGAGCACACTATTTGTTATTCAAAGATCATATTTAACCATCTTCTTAATTATGCCCATCTATCCTTTTAATATCATCATCCATAAACTAAAACTCCTCAACTGATTTTTACAAGTTCATCAGGTGCGTGCTTAAAGAAGCTTCAAGATTATTATTTTTTCACCAGTTATCCTAGAGAACCATCTCTTCAGTTCAGGACCGTAGCCCACTTCTGTAGCAGTGCTTTCTAAAGGACCTTCTACTCCAAGTTCTAGGTCTTGAGAAGTTTCACCAAAATGAAAAGTTTGTTTACCCGTAGTAAACGGGGAAGCATAACAGAGTTGGCAAGGATGGGTCCTCCAGTTCATCCATCTTTATTCACTTCATTACTGGGGCCCTTGACTCAGCTCCCATGACATGGTTCTTTCTCAAACAGATAAGACAACTTCTCATAATAAGGAACTTTCTTCTCAAGTTAACTGCCACATATGTTGTTCCATGTTGACAATAAAAACTTAATTTCAATTAAACACATAACAAAAAAAGCTTAATTGTTCACATAATCTTGAATCACATTCCTTTCATATATGATGCATTTCACATGAAACTCCACCGGTATCTTAAGGTAGAAAGTAGAAACCTCCGACATCTTTGGAATAAACACAACCCTCTGGAGGTGTTCCCTAATATCAAATTAATGAAGCTTTCTACATTCGTTGCTATAAGCATTGCACAACATACAGTCTTAGATGTATTACTATCTTTGATCTATTTTCTAAACTTGCAAAATCAAAGGAACATTTAATTTCCTTTTTTCATCTTCAATAGAGCCCACAGCTATTTCTCTTGCTTGTACAAACACAAATCCCTAATTTCTGAATTTGCAAAATCAAAGGAACATTTGATTTTCTTTTTATCTTCAATAGAGCCCACGGCCATTTCTCTTGCTTGTACAAACACGGTTCCCTTTACCCTTAAAACCTTCCTACTAAATGATAGTCCAGACTTCAAATTCATAGTCTCATAGATACGGAAAAAAAAACTATTTCCATATCATAACTGAGTAGAAAGTGAGCATTACTTTCAGACGGAAATGGACAGAAAATTAAAACGAACAACTTTTTAATCAAATATAATACGAATAAAATCTATAATTACACAATAAATGAAACAAAACAGTGATATTAACCACAAGTCGAGATACACAACTTGAAATTAGACATGCCTAGTTCACCAACACAAATTGAAATACAACACCGGTCATTTGGCACATTAATTATAAAAGACAAATTAGAACCCTTATGAAATATAACTGGCAAGTTATCTCTGTAAGTTCATGAGGTAATGACTTTATGTCCCTCATGCATTCATGCTTCAAATTCTTGATACATACTTCTTTTTCACCACTATGGCACTACCTTCTACAAAAGTATTAAAAGGATATTTCCACATAGTGTGATTTGTGACAAACACAAGCCAAAAATGATCTGAAGCTATGTCTTAACAGGGCAGTTTGACTACCACATATGACTGCCCATGAACCATGGAATAAGCAAAGAATGTTTCTATTAGACATGACTCTCAAATCACATCCATTATAATGCAAGGGAACATCCATAATTCATATACCCAACTTCAGATGCTAACTGCTTTATTGAATAAAACAAACTCGTGCTTTATATAAGTTCGAATGGAACATAAACATTATAAAGATAAGTTCTAGTAATTTTTTTAGGAAATTGAGTTAATTTTCTTAGAAATTTCCACTGGATGGAGTTCAAGGCAGTGAAAAGGTACAACAAGGCATGATTGTGTCTGAGCTAGGTAGCCCCATCTCAATATAATCAATTTTATATGAAGCACCACAAACGGAGGACTAACTTTAAAATCTTTTGCATTTGCAAGGGAAATGACCTTTCTCAAAGAATTCCTCATTTGAAGAACATAAGTCAAATAGGCATAAATTCAGAGAATTTGAATGGGTAGAATCCTTTTTCTAGGCAGTTAGTCCAAGATTTTAAATATCGGTTATCGGAAATATCTCGGATGGCCAATATTCATATCGGATCCCGGCTATCGGGGATAAGTATTAAAAATCGGAGTGTCATATCGAATGGTGAGCATATATAATATAATATCCTAAAATATAATATAAGTACATTTAATGCAATATCAAGAGAGGATCTTCGAGAGAGGTCGTCAAAAGAGGCCTTCGAGTGAGAAATTTGCGAGTGATTTTGGGGAGAGAATTAGGATAGCATGGTTTTTGTTTAGTGGATGTGGAGGTGGAAAGAATTAGGATAACACAATGAGCGGATGTGAAATAGAATAGGATAGCATGGTTTTTGTTTAGTGGATGTGGGGCAAGCATGGAAAAAGGAGGGTATTTGCCTCCAAACTTGAACCGGTTCACTTAGAATGTAAATTGTAGAAATTTGGGTGATTTTTAACCCACGAGAAATCGACAGCCTTATCAAATTTGCACTGATATATATATGGACAAATCAGCCAAAAACGATATGCGATAACTTTTTGCAAAAACCGTATCAGCCATGTCCCAAACCCTATATATATTGGTGATAAATCGATAAAATCGTCCTATTTTTAAAACATTGAGTTAGTCTATGGAATTTGGAGGAACCCTATGAGTCTCGTACGCATTACAATTATTGTGTTTTTAGTGCACTCATGTCACAAGACATGCCTCTTATAGAAAGAGTTCATATAGTTTCAAGCTGAACATAATAATCTATTCAAATAAACTGGTGATTTCCAGATGCCATTGAACTCAATCAAACAGCCACATTCACCTCAAACACAGGCTTACTACAAACGATTCTATCGTTATCTCAAACTCTGCAGAGTTTCATTTCGGTAAAAGCATCAATTCTAACATAATTGCCCCAAAAGTGTCTAAAAATAAATGTCAAGCAATTGAGGCATCGCAAAAATCAAATACAAAGCCAAAAATTTTGAGGTTTTCTAATAAAAGTTCATATTTTTCGATTCATAGAACACATTTAACACCAAATCAAATGCACGTGCTAGGACATACTATCCAGAAACTGGAACAACTGATTATATAGCATTGAAAGTAGTAAGGATGATGGATGATAATATAAATAAAGATTCACACAAAATAGGTGCAAATTTAGACTATTAATAGGATAAAAACATTAAGAACTGACCAACTGTAATCCCATCCAGTTGAAGAGACCACAGAATCCATAAATCTTCCCTGAAATATAAAGCGAACAACAAAAGGCTTAGCATATTTGAAACAACTATAGCAACTGAGAGTAAAATTTAATAGTTTGTAAAGTAATTAAAGGCCAACCAAACCTGTGAATTCCATATGGGACCAAAAAGAAAAGAAAAAGGGCACAAATTACTTAAAAAAGAAGAGGATAATGAAATGCTCGTGTGTGGTAGAAAAATCTCAACAAATAAAATTTAATAAAGGAATTAAACCTTTTAATGGAGGATTGCTTCTACAGTTTCTGAGAGAAAATGACTGAGAAATGAGTTTTTCGATTATAGTTTTTCCCGCTAGCTTTCTGCACGTACCTCATTAGGGTTTTATAGAAGAAAACCCTGAAAGAAAGATGGGTAATTAGATATTGAAGGGATCCAGAAATTTTAGAACCGCATCCGATTACGACTAGATGAGTAGGCAATAGTTGATTTAACTTAGCGGGTGCAAGTTTCAAATCTAACTCCATTAATCCACAGAAGACAGATTTTTTCCCGATATTAGTCCCTTAAAAATCAAAATTGACATTCAAGTGTCCAATTTCTTAAGTTTTCTTAAATGGGTCCTTTAAATTATTGAATATGCTATTAATACCATCAGCCATTTAGTACTAATATGATAATTATCTAAAACAGTATCTTTTCTCATCTATGGTATTTAATATGATAATTATGTTAAACAATATCCTTTCTCATCTATGGTTTAATATGATAATATCTAAAACAGTATCTTTTCTCATCTATGGTATTTAATATGATAATTATGTAAAACAATATCCTTTCTCATCTATGGTTTAATATGATAATATCTAAAATAAAGTAACATAGGGTTGCTTTTATTAAGTGTTGACATCAAAGCAATGTGCATTGCTAATCCAAATGTTGAAGCCACATACCATCAGCCGCATGGTATTCCATGTTTAACTTAGATATTTTTCATTATTCATAATCCCTGCACTCATCACTTAATAAATGTCTAGTGAGTAAAGTTTGAATTGCTTACTATTATACACTTATTCTCTGTTAGTAGTAAATTGGCTATTAGACACCATGGCCTCTCTTGGATATATGATTATTTGAATTACATTTGTGTGCTAAGGCCTCTGCTACCATCTTTTGCATTTCAAAGTGTTCTATAATTACTCATCCATAAATTTGCTCCCTTCAATTGCTTACATGAAACTATGTGTAGTGGGAACCAGAGTTTTGCTCCTTCAGCTAATGATCTACCAGAAAACAGCCAGACCTCGGATACCAATTCGAGCAGGACTGAGCTATTGGAAGCTCTTCGACATTCCCAAACACAAGCAAGGGAAGCCAAGATAGCAGCACAAAAAGCTTACAGTGAGAAGGAACACATCGTCAAAGTCTTCTTCAAACAAGCATCACATCTCTTTGCATACAAGCAATGGCTCCAGATGCTACAGTTAGAGAGCCTATGTCTGCAGCTCAGGATCAAAGAACAACAGATCTCAACACTGTTTCCTGTTCTTCCTTTTATGCCACATAGAAGTGATGGGACTAAGAGTAAAAGAAAGAAACATAGGAAATGTAGCTTTTGTAAGTATGCTGTAGCCTTTTCTGTTGGCTTGGGCATTGCTGGTGCTGGTTTGCTCCTAGGTTGGACCCTCGGCTGGTTACTGCCACACTTATAGAGTGGCATTCATAGGTTAACTTAAGCCTGTGAATGGTGGCTAGCAGTTGTGAATCTATTTGTTACGAGGACTTAAAATGGTTTTCTATTGTATGCTTAATGGGTTTAGACTGTAAATGTTATTGTGTTGAGGTGTATATTTGATACGTAAGTAAGTTTGTATATACTGGATAGGGGCACATCTGTTTGGCATGTACTTAAGTTATTCAGTGTATTCGAGAGTAAGATGATCGATACGTGTGATGTCAGTTCTGCAGTTATATGATCCTGTCTTAAGATAATTTCCATGCCAACTAGGTAGTTGCTGTGGTTGTATATGTCGGTGATATGGGGTTTGCTTTGAGCAAGTTCAATTTGCGGATGCCTCTGTGCGTTTGTGTTTATGGAAATAGTGCATAACAGGGCTTTTTTATTTGTTCTTGTATTGGGATTTCAATATCAAGATCGTTGCCTTTTTGAGGTGTTCTTACATTGTAGCCTTGTAGACTTGTTTTGTTCCAGCTGAAATGAAGAGGCCACTATCAGCATAGTTGCTGCAGTGAAACTGCTGTCGATTCCTAATGTGTCAATCGTGCTGTGAAGATTTTCATCCTGCTAAGAGATGGCATGTTGACAAAGTAGCAAAGAGCTCTTATTGGGTGATTTAGTGAAGTGGTGAAAGGACAGACAGATTTCTTCTTGGGTGCGTATGAAGTATGATAGCCTAGCTGTGTTAGAATATAAGAATATAACTTATGTTTCTCACCACAATTTTTCTGGTGTAATGCTTTGGGATTTTAGAATGGTATTAGAGCAATTTAAATTCAGCTATGAAATTAAAATGTGATTTTTATAAAGATAGATACTGTTGTATGAGTTCTAGTTTCAACATACAAAAAGGGTGATCAACCTCACTTTAAACTTTTGGTGTAACAATTAGGAATATTAAAAAGCAAGACTTGGACTTTGAATTACGCGTTTACTCTTGATTGGAGTGATTAATTTTAAATTTTAGAATTGAGAGATCAAATAGCATTTTCAATAATTTAAAGGACACATTTAAGAAAACTTAAGAAATGGGATAATCTAATATCAAAATGTTTAAGGGACTAATATCGGGAAAAAAACCATCTTCTGTGGATTAACGGAGTCAGATTTGAAACCCGCACCCGCTAAATTAAATCAACTATTTCCTACTCATCCAATCGTAATCGGAAGCAGTACTAAAATTTTTGGATCCCTTCAATATCTAATTACGCATCTTTTTTTCAAGGTTTTCTTCTACAAAACCCTAGCAAGGTATGGGCAGAAAGCTAGTGGGAAAAACTATAGTCGAAGAACTCATTTCTTAGTCATTTTCTCTCAAAAATTGTAGAAGCAATCCTCCATTAAAAGTTTTAATTCATTTATCAAATCTTATTTGTTGAGATTTTTTTACCACACACCCCAGCATTTCATTATCCTCTTCTTTTTTAAGTAATTTATGTCCCTTTTCTTTTCTTTTGGTCCCATCTGAAATTCACAGGTTTGGTTGGCCTTTAATTACTTTACAAACTATTACATTTTACCCTCAGTTGTTATAGTTGTTTCAAATATGCTAAGCCTTTGTTGTCCGCATTCTATTTCAGGGAAAGTTATGGATTATGTGGTCTCTTCAACTGGATGGGATTACAACTGGTCAGTTCTTAATGTTTTTATCCTATTAATAGTCTAAATTTGCACCTATTTGTGTGAATCTTTATTTATTTTATCATCCATCGTCCATACTACTTTCAATGCCATAATCAGTTGTTTCAGTTTCTGGATAGTATGTTCTAGCACATGCATTTGATTTTTCATTAAATGTGTTCTATGAATAGAAAAATATGAACTTTTTATTAGAAAACCTCACATTTTTGGCTTTGTATTTGATTTTTGTGATGCCTCGATTGCTTAACATTTATTTTTAAACACTTTTGGGGCAATTATGTTAAAAAGTGATGCTTTTACCAAAATGAAAATCTGCTGAGTTTGAGATAAAGATAGAAACGTTGTAATAAGCCTGTATTAGAGGTGAACGTGGTTGTTTGATTGAGTTCAATGGCGTTTGGAAATCACCATTTTATTTGAATAGATTATTACGTTCGACTTGAAACTATATGAACTCTTTCTATAAGAGACATCTGTCTTGTGACATGAGTGCACTGAGAACACAATAATTGTAATACATACTAAACTTCTAGGATTACTCCAAATTCCATAGACTAACTACCTCGAAAAAGGATTCATGCCCATTCAAATTCTCTGAATTTTTATTCCTATTAGGCTTATGTTCTTCAAATGAGGAATTCTTTGAGAAAGCTCATTTCCCTTTCAAATGCAAAAATGACTCAGGATTTTAAAGTTAGCCCTCCGTTTGTGGTGCTGTAGATAAAATTGATTAGATTGAGATGTGGTTACCTAGCTTAGACACAACTATGCCTTGTTGTACCTTTTCACTGCCTTGAACTCCATCCAGATGAAATATCTAAGAAAATTAACTCAACAATTTCCTGAAAAAATTACTAGAACTTATCTTAGTAATGTTTATGTTTCATTCGAACTTATATAAAGCACAAGTTTGTTTCATTCAATAAAGCAGTTAGCATCTGAAGTTGGATATATAAATTGTGGATATTCCCTTGCAATATAATGGTTGTGATTGGAGAGTCATGTCTAATAGAAACATGCTTTGCTTATTCGATGGTTCATGTGCAGTCATATGCAGTAGTCAAACTGCCCAGTTAAGACGTAACTTTAGATTATTTTTTGGCTTGTGTTTGTCACAAATCACACTATGTGGAAATATCCTTTTAATACTTTTGTAGAAGATAGTGGTGAAAAAGAAGTATGTATTAAGAATTTGAAGCCTTAATGCATAAGAGACATAAAGTCATTACCTTATGAACCTACAGAGACAACTTACCAATTATATATTTTATAGGGGTTCTAATTTATCTTTTAGAACTAATGTGCTGAATTACCGGTATTGTATTTCAATTTGTGTTGGTGAACTAGGCATGTCTAATTTCAAGTTGTGGTGTATCTCGACTTGTGGTGAATATCACCATTTTGTTTCATTTATTATGTAATTATAAATTTTATTTATATTGTATTTGATTAAAAAATTGATGTTCGTTTTAATTTTCTGTCCATTTCTGTCTGAAAGTAATGCTCACTTTCTACTCAGTTATGATATGGAAATAGCTTTTTTCGTATCTATGAATTTGAAGTTCAGATTATCATTTTATACAAAGGTTTTAAGGGTAAAGAGAACTGTGTTTGCACAAGCAAGAGAAATGGCTGTGGGCTCTATTGAAGATAAAAAAAAAGAAAATCAAACGTTCCTTTGATTTTGTGAATTCAGAAAATAGGGAACTGTGTTTGTACAAGCACGAGAAATAGTTGTGGGCTCTATTGAAGACAAAAAAAGGAAATTAAATGTTCCTTTGATTTTGCAAGTTCAGAAAATAGAACAAAGATAGTAGTATATCTAAGAGTGTTTGTCGTGCAACGCTTATAGCAACGAATGTAGAAAGCTTCATTAATTTGATACTAGGGAGGTGATATTAGGGAACACCTCTAGAGGTTTGTGTTTATTCCAAAGATGTCGCAGGTTTCTACTTGCTACCTTAAGATAGAGTTAGAAAGCAGGATAAATTCACAAACCGCTGCTGCCATTGACTTCTCTAACTGTAGTCATCTATTGGAAGAAGAAGGTTGTTTTTTTAGCCAAATTGCCAGAAGCATGGAACGCATAATGAAACTAATACATCATACAGAGTTATTTAGTTGCATTTCAACTTCATGCTTCACATGCAGAGAAATCAAAAACTGGATAAATTTGGAATACCGAATTGTTCTGAGCTTAACCTAATCAAGCACTTCTTACTCCGCAATAAAAAAGATTGCTGCTTGCAATAAAATATCGCAAGAAAATCCCATATAAACAAAGACCAACCAATTTCTAGCTGATTTAAATCGCAAATTTCATGTAGCAAAGCCCTAAAGCTGATTCTATCACAAATATCTAAGGAAACAATCAAAATTCACACCTTCCCAAAAAGTATCAAATCAAAACAATCAGAAATTAGGCGAGAAAATTTACCAAATTATCGGAAGAAGAAGAGATCTGATGAGAGTGATGAGGAGAGAAACTGATCTGAGGCTTCGAGGGATCAGATCGAGTGTTAAAGATTATAATTGAAGAGCGTTGTTAGGTTACGGTTAGGGTTTCAGAAAATAGGAAGAAGAAAAAAATCTGGCGTGTCTGATCGTGGCCGTTGGTTCTCTGCTTTCGAGATCCAACGATCGGCACAGGATGAACTTCTGACATCTCAATCACGAACGTTTCCGTACGTGTTTCCCAGGCTAATTAGTAGGGGTGGTGTCGGAGCAGATACCGTTCCGACGTGACACTTTTTATATCCATATCTGTTTTCTATAAGGGTCTGTTTGGTTATTTCCTAAAAACCAAGAAAAACTAAGAAAAACCAAAAAATAGAAATGGAAAAGGTGAAAATCTTAAAAAGTACTATTTCCTCCATTTCCATCCATAAGAGCTTCTCCAATGTGAGGCTCTATTTTGGAGCCCAAACTTTGGCATATTCCTTAGAATATGCTAAAATAGAGTTATGTAACTCCAACCACACTCCTCTATTTCCAACTCCATTTCAATTTCTCTCAATTTTTAATTCGTTTACTTATTTTAAAAATATATAATGTAATCATATATTTAAATAAAATTAATTTTCTTTAATGAATTGATAATAAGAAATAGATAATTGTCTTTAAATTATAATATATTTTTATTTTTAATTACTTGGTTCTTGGAATTTTATATTTCAATTAATATTATTTAATATTACTCTCATTTTGAATATTTAAAAAATAAAAAAATAAAAGTTATATAATATAAATAATATTATTAATAATATTATTAAATATATTAATATAAAATAGGCAATCTGATTAAATTAAACAGACATTCATATTACTAAATCCACGACTATTACATAGAAAGCAAAAACATGAATTGAAAATTACATGACAAATAGGAAAAACATAATACATGAAAATACTAAAAGTCTGGAAAGTCAACTCCTCCGTATCCACCTCCTCTGTAGTCAGGTATTCCGTATTGACTTCCTGCGTAACTGTATTCAGGATTAGGAATATCAGATGAGGAACCCCTAGTTATATTTCTATTTAAAATCTGTTGTTGTTTATTTCGAAAATATTCGCGTTTTGTTGGATCGGTAATAGCTTCCAGATCAACTAGCATAATTTCTTTCTCTTGTCGTTCTTGCTGAAGTTCTAACTTTTTCTTATCATTTTCAGCCTTTAACATCATAGCCTGGTTCATTGTCAATCTTTCATTTTCTCGTTGTTCTTTACCTTTTTTTAAAACTTCTAAGATTTCTTGATTTCCTTTAGCAAAATCCTCAAAGTCAATGTTCCTTTCAATTTCTTTCCGTCTTCTCAACTTCTCTTTCTTCCTTCCAATTGGTCGACTAGTTGAAATGCTCATTGGTGAATGGTCGTCGTCATTAGGACTATATGCCTGATTGTCTTCATTTAAGTCAATGACAGGAGAGTTTGAATCAGATCCTTGAGACAAGCGAGACTTTGAAATTTTGGAAGATGCAGAAGGCATGACGCTTATATTTGCCCACTTCTCTGCATCCTTCAAAATCGGCCAAACATGATCAAATAGAAATCCTCTTTTCTCTTCTGGATCTTCTGCAAATATGATCCTAGCACGTTTATTCTACCACAAAAGAAGAAATAATTATTAGAAAAGGTGGAAAATAATTTAATAACCAAGAAACATGTAATTCATATACTTACAATATCAAGTTCAGAAGCACCGCTTGGATTGAGGCGCTCGACTTGTCGAATGCATCCTCGAAATTTACTGATGGCTTTCATAATTAATTGCATTCGGCATGAGAGAGACTTCGGGCTCCTATGTCCGGTGTAAACGTTGGAAATCCTTTCGTGAAATAGAGCTGAAATTCGCTCCCATAGCTTGTCTTTCTTTTGATTGGAACCTAAAACTGGATCCTGAGATATTTCAAGCCATGTAGCGCATAAAATTTGATCTTCTTCTTGTAAGAATGATTTTCCGCGACTGGATGCCATAAGAGAAGGACGAAGAGTTGTTGAGAAGAACTATGGAGGAGGAATGAGAAGAGTTGTGATGAAGGAATGAGGGTTGTGCTAGTATTTATAGTGAAAAAAATATGGAGAATTCAATGCTAGTGGGAGAAAGGAATGTGGGTAGAAAACCGATGTGGGTAGGAGAATCCAATGTGGGTAGAAACCGATGCGGGTGGGAGAACCAATGTGGGTAGAAACCGATGCGGGTGGGAGAACCAATGTGGGTAGAAACCGATGCGGGTGGGAGAATCCAATGTGGGTAGAAACCGATGCGGGTGGGAGAATCCAATGTGGGTAGAAACCGATGCGGGTGGGAGAACCAATGTGGGTAGAAACCGATGCGGGTGGGAGAACCAATGTGGGTAGAATGTGGGTAGAAAACGATGCGGGTGGGAGAATCCAATGTGGGTAGAAACCGATGCGAGTGGGAGAATCCAATGTGGGTAGAAAACGATGCTGGTGGAAGAATCCAATGTGGGTAGATAACGATGCGGGTGGGAGAATCCAATGTGGGTAGAAACCGATGCGGTGGGAGAATCCAATGTGGGTAGAAACCGATGCGGTGGGAGAATCCAATGTGGGTAGAAACCGATGCGGTGGGAGAATCCAATGTGGGTAGAAACCGATGCGGTGGGAGAATCCAATGTGGGTAGAAACCGATGCGGTGGGAGAATCCAATGTGGGTAGAAACCGATGCGGGTGGGAGAACCAATGTGGGTAGAAACCGATGCGGGTGGGAGAACCAATGTGGGTAGAAACCGATGCGGGTGGGAGAACCAATGTGGGTAGAAACCGATGCGGGTGGGAGAACCAATGTGGGTAGAAACCGATGCGGGTGGGAGAACCAATGTGGGTAGAAACCGATGCGGGTGGGAGAATCCAATGTGGGTAGAAACATTATATAATAACACAACATACACCTATTAACAACTCATCACCAATCTATAATTTATTTCTCCAAATCCCCTCTTCAACAATGAACTATGGAGCTGGACCATCACACCTACCATCTTATTCTTCTTCTTCTTCTGATGACGAAACATTTTCTCATTACGTTGAACAATGGGAGGAGGATATGAAACAATGGGAGGAGGAGGATGAAATCTTAGCTCGTCTATATGTCGCTAACAATAAAATAATGGCTTATTTCTCTAAAGAGGAAGAGAGGCCAAAGCGTATCAGCTCAGTTCCTGGTCATTTGGTAATCAACCGTGGGAGGGAAGAAGGTAATTCTCGACTCTACAATGACTATTTTTCTGATAATCCCACATACGGTGCACATTTATTCCATAGAAGATTCCGAATGCAAAGGAGTCTTCTCCTTCGTATCGTCGACGTTGTATGAGAGAACAACAACTATTTCGTACAAAAGGTGGATGGTGTCATCTGGCTTGGACTGTCTACTTTACAAAAAGTAACAGTAGCACTTCGCATGTTGGCATATGGTGCATCGGCAGATAGTACTGACGAATATATAAGGATTGGTGAGTCAACTGTACTTGAATGTTTGAAGAGATTTTCTAGAGCAGTTGTAGAAGTGTATGGAGATGAATATCTTAGATCCCCCAATACCGACGATGTTGCAAGACTGTTACAAAAAGGCGAAGAGCGAGGTTTCCCAGGAATGTTGGGAAGTCTTGACTGTATGCATTGGGAATGGAAAAACTGTCCAACAGCATGGGCGGGACAATACTCAGGACGTCACGGAGGCCCAACCATTATTCTTGAGGCAGTAGCATCGTATGACCTATGGATATGGCATGCATTCTTTGGCTTGCCAGGTTCTAATAACGATATTAATGTATTACAAGCATCTAATTTGTTTGACAACCTAACGCAAGGTATTACTCCTCCTGCTCATTATACAATTCAAGGAAAGAATTATGATGTCGGTTATTATTTAGCCGATGGCATATACCCGAAATGGCCAACCCTTGTTCAAACCATTTCCAAATCCGAAGATAAAAAGAAACAATATTTTGCAATGATGCAAGAAGCTTGTCGAAAAGATGTGGAGCGAGCGTTTGGTGTTCTCCAGTCAAGATTTGCTATAATCAAGGGACCTGCACGGTTTTGGGATAAACGAACTTTGCATGATATCATGACCACTTGCATAATAATGCACAACATGATTATTGAGGATGAACGTGATGAGCAAGAAGATATTATCGTTTCTACTCCACCATCAATTTCAAATGTTGAAGACATAGGGACGAACGATGCCGAACGGTTCCGACAATTCCTGACCCGACATAAGAAATTCAAAGACAAAGAAGCACACTTCGCACTTCGAAATGCATTAATTGAACATTTGTGGGAGAGACACGACAATGAAGTGATGTAACTTTTTTTATTAAAGTTTCGATGTAATTCTAAGTTAATGTGTTTTATTTCATTTTAAGCTCCAATGTATTATCATTTCTAATTACTTGTTTTGCAATTTTATATTTCGATATTAGTCTCATTTTGAAGGTATCGACGAGACATTTCCAATGATATTATTTTCATTAAAAAATATTTAATATATTAATATATATATACAGATTTTAAGTAACTATAAAAAATAATAACGGGATACAATTGGAATAATGAAATGTTGTTAAAGGGTTTGAGGGTTAATTTTGGTATTTATTTTGGGGAATAGTAGTATAGAGTTGGCTGCAAATTTGGAGAGAAATCTCCAAATTTGCAGCCTCAGGGTCCGAAAATGCAGTTGACTGCAAAAAATGCAGTTCCGTTGGACCATGCTCCGGCTTCAAAATGGAGAATTGGCGGACGCTTGGAGAAGCTCTAAAACTCACCCACAACATCCAATAAAATATTATTTTCATCCAACAACTCATCCACATCATCTAATAAAATATTATTTTCATCTAACCACTCATCCATCACATCTAATAAAATATTATTTTCATCCAAACATCACTCAACTCATCTCTTTTCATCATTTCAAATCACTCACATCATCCAATAAAATATTATAATAATTCACCTCATCTCATTAACATTTTATTTCTTTGTTTTCATCCCAAAAAGTTGTGAAAACACTTTTCTTAATCTTGGATCACATCACCCAATAATACAATGACAACTCATCTCATCTCATTTCATTTCTTATTTTTAAGAATGAATCAAACTAAAAGAAAGCAACAAACTATAGGAAATAAGTTTCTTTTAATTCATTTCCTTATTTTTTTCGCCAACCAAACAACATCAAAACTAGTTTTCTTAAAAAATCACTCACATCATCCAATAATAATATGACAACTAACATCATTTCATCTCCATTTTTTTGATTTCTTTCTTTTTTTAGCCAACCAAACACTCCCAAACCAATTCTTCATTTTAATAGTTTTCCATTTCTTTGATTTCCCTCTTTTTTTAGTAAAACAAACAGGCCCTAAACGGATACGGATTATGTTCGGTAAGAAAAAACATTAACCATATTTGTACTCATCGGAAATAGATACGGTTTAGATATTAGAGAATCAGATCGAATACAATTACGGATATGAAACGGATATTTGACAAATAAATATGAATCAGATATGAATTAGTACACCTATGTATAAATTACAATCAAAAGGATAAATGTATGTGGTTGTAGGTTTCTCCCTGCATGAACGTATGTGGTCGCAAATACGAACTTCAAATGATAAAAATATAATAAAACAATCACATATATATGCAATATCATCAATTGTACCTAGAAATGCTATAAAGTATCTAAGCAATTGCTATAACTGTTAGACCCTAGAGGGGGGGGAGGGGGTGATTAGGGTCTTATGCTAATCTAATCCTATTTTATGCTAATTAAAACTAATTAATAAGTTATCCTAGCAAGTATGAAATACAACAAGATATATGAGCTAGGATAAGCAATATGAACAAATGAATATATCCTAGCAATGAGATATTACAAATATATGAGCAAGGATATATAAACTAACACAAGGGTAAAATAAATAATCTACAAAAGAGATAGGGCAATATGAAGAGCAATACACAAAGGAGATATATGAATACAAGAATAAGAACATCAATGCAATCACAAACAAAACGATATGATCACGGAGTTCGGTCTAACCACTTGACCTACGTCTCCGCTCCTCACCTCGAGGAGATCTCCACTATCACAATCGGGTTTTCTACGTTTACCCGAATAACGTTTACACCACACAATACGGTTTTCTAGTTTACCGAAAACTCTACAACTAACACACTCTTGTAATCTCACTCTACACCCTCTCAAGTGTTGAACTAGACGTGTCTCCCTCAAGTGCTCGGATACAACCTCTCCCTAGGTTCGTCAATCGACGCCACTCCTCTTGGGACGATCACCGACTCTCGCCACACACTTCTCTCGGTGTACAAGTGTATTACAAAGTGATTCTCATAATAAGCACAATATAACAAATGATTTGTTCTCTACAATAGATGAGAACTTAATATAAGCTCACACTCAATTGTTACAACTCTCACCAACCCAAATATACAATGTATGCAAATACAATAAGCTCAAGTGGGTGTGTGTAAACAATGAGTGAAATCAAATCAACTAAACTCAATTGAAAATACTAGCTTAATGAAAATGATAAACAACAAAAAGAATTAATACAAAGCTAGTATTGAGTTTAGAAATTCTTCTCTGAAAAACAAGATGGAGAGATGAATTAAAATGAAGCCCAATGAATGTAGATGATCTCCTCCACTTGTGTAAAACTTCTTCACAAACAAAACTCTTTTAAACAAACACTAAACAAATTTAAACCCCTGTTAAACTCTTATTTTAAAAACTTCTTAGATCACCATGAGAACTGAGATCAATGGGGTATTTATAGCCTCCCAAAATCTCAGCCAAAAGCCCAACAGAAATGAATAAAAAACCAACAGAATCGGAAATCAGATTCTATACAAAATGACCGTTGGAGTAAATGGCGGTCGACCGTGAAAATCTCGCGGTCGATCGCGAGCCACTTTCGAGGCTCAGAAAATTTCCAAA